GTACATTATTTGTGAAGTCTAGGATTGGATGAGAAGAGCATATAGGTGTTCAGTTTTTGTATGCATGATATGGTGACATGGTATAAAGAATAATTGTGCAGGACTAACATTTGTCAGTCAGTTGATTGCACGATTTCATCTTATAATTCTTTACAGCCTTATAGCTGTATTTTGTGTAGGGCATGATTTTCTGTGCATTATTCTATACACTGTATATTATGTATTACTTTTTAATCGATCGATTTAGTTTCATTTTATAATATGAACATTTACACTTGAGGTTCATATCCAATAATCTGAAATACTTTCTAGTTTTCACCATTTGCTACAACTCAACTCTACTAAAATATTAGTAGTTATAAGTATGTATAAAGACTAATAAATGTCGTTTATTCTTTATTAATGTACTAATATGCTGTAAATCTATTAATTTAGTCATGTGACTATCAATAATATACTACTGTTTTACTTTAGATTTATATCAAGGTCTATTTAATCTTATATATATAATTAGTCACTGTTGTCAATGCAGACTTTCTTCTCAAGAAACTATTTGACTGTTTTTTTTCTTTGATCGATGTAATTTTATGGTATGATTAGGTATTTGCACAATGCTAGTAGTATTTTGTGTTCAGCACAACTATCAATGCAATGCAGTGGTTGACCATTTGTGCTCCATTGTATTCATCTAATAAGGTATACTTTTATATATAAATCTATTGTACTCATTAAAGTTTAACTTTTTTGTGTATCTATTTGTATCACTGTTGAGTTACGCCCCTACATTGGTTGGTTGTAGTAGTAGTAGTAATGTTATTGTGAATAAGTAGTATTTGTTGTAGTTATCTTGTTAAGAAAAGAAGAAATGATTAAACATTATTATAATTTTTGGTGACAAGTTTAAAAGCAAGTAATGTAATTACTCCTTCACTAATAGCTTTTGTGTGTCAAACAAGAACAAACTGATTAACAAATGTTTATCTATTTTACTCTCATGACAGTACATTTATTGCCAAAATGGAATAAGCGCAAAGAATGCGCAATAAGATATTCCTGTCGTTTTAAATAGCATAAATATTTATCTCTTTATCTATAAATGAGTAAACACAAATTCTCTCTGTGTATATATATATTCATCGATTTATTTAGGTCATACAAGGCACTCTTAATAAAGTCGTCTCCCACTACTACTGACAATGTTTTCAGTTGAAAATAAATATAAGATGGATTATCGTCTACCTTACTGTATGTATTTTAGATAATAACGATGTGCGCTCTTAATAGGACTCATTCACCAGGTGGATATAAGTCCGTTTATTTAGTTTAAAAATATATTTTATTTTTGTAGAGTCTTAGTAATCCTACTACTCTTTCCAAACAGAAGTAGGTAGAGTAATGAAGTTCAATCTTTTAAACCTATTGATTCAGAGCCGAATACATGAACCACTGCTCCAAATTTTTGTCAAGAATCTAGACATTTTATTCGTAAAACATTTTATAAAGCATATATGTATCTGACCGCTGCTTTCGATTGTAATCGCCAGATTACGGTGGTCGATCTTATATATATATATATATATATATATATATATATATATATATATATATATATATATATATACTGCTTCGTAATTTCCTTTGTTATTGTCATTTTGTTTCACACTCACGACATATCACTCAATCAAATGCTGAGAGTGTGGATCATTAAATCCCTGCTCTGTAATAATTTTTTTTGGTATTTTGTGTTCTTCGAGCTGGTTCATTTGATTGCGAACCTTTCACTTTATTTCTGAGCATAATCAGGGTTTACTTCACGTAAACTCGACGTTTTAGTCAATACATAATTATCTACCCTGATAATTTTATCGGCAATTTGTTGTTTTCAATGGTTTTATCATCCGCTTACCTTTGCATTCCTGTTGATCAGTTTGTTTTGTTGACCCTTGATTCTTTGATGTTTTACGCTTAACCAGGTGATTGATCTCCATATATCTGTGCTTACTGAACAAACAATGGCCTGATGTAACGCTTCCAAAAATCTCCCTAATCCACGATTTTAACGTTTATCTAATCGAATTCACATTTGTTATTAACATTGGGATAACAGCTCGTATCGTTTTACTAACAATTTGTGTTCATGTATGTCTAAACGGAGGAGGTTTCTATTTTGTCCAATAATATTTTTAATCTATGTAAAATGCAATAAAGCATTTCTGTTTGTTTGTGATATGATGGAATATCTTCGGCTCCTTCTAAACCTTTTGCAACTTCCTCGAGTTCACCCGTGGTCCGTCGTCACACCTCCCCCATTTAAAGTCTGCTGTGTAAGACTTTTCTCGGACTCACCTGAAACTTGGTTGCCGCATTCCTCTTGCTGTCCATCGCTCTCGAGGGTTGTATTGCTTTGCCCTTGCGTCGTTTGTCTCTTCTATGTTTGCACTCCTGAGGGCTTTTCTGAGATGCATCCACGAGCAATTGAAATGAGAGTCGGCTTTCTGGGACTACTGTACTGCCATCTCTTTGCATTTGATTTATATGTCTTATACATTTTCCGACACCTTTCCGGACTAGGTACAGTACATTTCCGATTCGACGTTCTGTGACACCTGGTTCCCATTTCCTATTACCTTGATACCATTTGACAAGTACCTTTTCATTCGTGTGTTTATTTGTCTTTCTGGGCGGCAACATACTGTTAAAAACCGTCCTGATTTTCCTTCCGAACATAAACTCGGCTGGCAACTTTCCTTCTGGTACTGTCGGATTAAAGGTAACTCTGTACGACATTAGGAAATTACTGATCACTTTTTCTGGGATACCCTCTCCTCCCCATTTGACCGGAGCTCTTTTTATCGTATCCACCAATCTTTCTGCTTGGCCATTCGAATAAGGATGGTACGGAGTAGATTGTAGATGCGATATGCCATTTTCACTGCAAAAGCGTTTGAAAGCGGATGACATAAACTGAGTGCCGTTGTCGGTCACTAAGATCTCCGGAACCCCGAAACAAGCAGTCAATTTTGACAATCTTCTTATTGTACTCTCTGATGTCGTTTTCAGCACGTCATATACTTCTGGCCATTTTTTGGAAGCATCGACAACAACTAAGTAATTTCTGCCTTGTATTGGTCCTGTGGAATCAGCGTGTATTCTTTGCCAAGGCCCGTCCGGTTTTGGCCATGGTTGTGGTTCAGCTTTGACTTCTTCTCAGCCCCTGGACAGGACCATCAACTGCGACATTTTTGTTCTATATCATGGTCCATTGACGGCCAGTATGCATAGCTACGAGCTAGTGATTTCATTTTACTTGTCCTCAGGTGCCCTCTGTGAAACTACTTTGTGACTTGATATCGGAAATTTCTGGGGAGAACGATACGGTGGCCAAACATGATGCACGAATCGACAACTGTTAAGGACTGTCGTCGACGAAAATATTGTAAGAGCTCTCCATGTAGTCTAGATGAAGGCCACTTGTTGAGTATGCAGTAGCGAACAATCTTCAATGCATTATCCTTCTTGCTAGCTTCTTTAATGGCTTCGAATGTGACCGGGAGTCCGGAAACTGCGTCTACCAATACTTTGTGAACCTCAGCCTCGACATCTATGGCAGCTACAAGCACCTCCTCTTCTTGTTTTGCATGCGAACCAAACAATCTTGATAGGGCATCTGTCTGTCCAAAATCCGTTGTTGGTTGATACTTTATCTTGAAATCATAGCCCAGCAGTGTAGTTGCCCATCGCTGCAGCCTGTTTGCTGTATATACAGGGATACCTTTTTTGGATTCAAAAACTGTCAGTAGCGGTTTATGGTCTGTAAGGTGAACTGTCTGCCAAACAGCATCTTGCGGGACTTTTTCACAGCAAATATAATGGAGGAGGCTTCACTCTGTATCTGACTGTAGTTCCTTTCAGTCATAGTCAGCGACCTTGCAGTGTGGGCGATTGCCTTCTCAGAGCCGTCAGGGTAGGTATGTGAAATTACTGCTCCGATTCCGTAGTTCGACGCATCTGCTGCGACTATTATTGGAAGATCTGGATCATAGTGTGTAAGTAGAAGGTTTGATTATAGGAGCTGCTTTAGTTTTAGGAATGCTTCCTGGCATTCGGTTGACCAGAACAACTTAGTAAGCAATTAAGAGGAGCACGAAGGCGATACAGATCTGGAAGAAAAACTCCATAATAACTAACCATTCCCAAGAAAGAACGTAAAGTTGGTACATCCGTCGGTGGAGGCATAGACTTGATAGCTTTGACGTTTTCAGGATCACGTTTTCTCCCGTTTTTATCGATTATGAATCCTAACTAGCGGACTTGCTCCATGTACAAATCACATTTTTCAGCACGCGATCTGAACCCATAATCTGCTATGCGTCTGAGAACTGTATCCACCTTATTCTCTAAGTCAGCATAGTCTGTACTTATGATCAGTATGTCATCGAGATAGGCCGCAGTTCCAGGAATATCTTGTAACATAGTATCCATAACTTGTTGGCAGATTGAAGGGATGGTCGTTGGGAATTGTAGAGGTCCCTCGTTTCGAGTATAAGTGATAAGCGTTTCCGACATAACAATCAGCGACGACCAGATACAAAAAGTAGCATTAAAAGAGCCAAGACAATAAGCATTCAAACGACAGTTATAACATTTCGCGACGGGGTGAAAAAAATTCTGAACTTTCAATCTTCAAATTGACGAATCAAGGTCAGCCCGTAATTGGACAAAATTCAATGTAATTATTTCAAGGAATCAGCATTCGAAATTCTCACCGGTGTCCTTCAACGACATTGATTTTTAATTAGTCATACAGTATTTTTCATTACCGTGCTGATTCAGAAAATGGCTATCTTTTCCGATCAATTACAGTTGCTATTTGAGCGACAATAGCAGCCTTTCAAAAAGAGCCAGTTGAATGTTTTAGACATTTTATGCACATGGCTGCTAGATCATCCATGTTTTGGAGATGTGACAGTTTGATAAATTAATTTCTAATTTCCATACAGAGCTGGAAAATGACTACAGAACGTATGAACGTGTCAATAAAACCCGTGATTCCCTGGTAAGCGGTAATGTAAACGAATTAGTGGCAGTCATCCATGATGCGCCCAGTGATCCAGAAATGTCCATTTCAGAGACATGCCCTGTCATGGGCTCAAATCCCATTGTCCCCGAAACACTATTTACAAACACTGGATTGTCCAGCTCACAGAAAGACGATGTCTTATTAAATGCTCATGAAATTATTGCAGTACCCGCCCACAAAAAAACGGAAAATGAATCAAGCATCGTAATGAGGACAGTTGCATTGAATGGAGCTCATCATTCTACGACAACAGTTTCTAATGAATGTACTGATTGGGGTTCTCTAGTTGTTTTACCAGATATGAGTTATCTCAAAGACTCATAAGCTTTTGATCAAATTTCTTACAAAAACGAAAATTTTTGGAGTCATCAAACGATGATCAAGAACCTAATAAAATTTTGATAGATACTGGTTATTCTGGTGATCGACTATCTACTAATGAGATTGTCAAGAGATTCGATGACAATGTTCCAGAAAAATCAAACTTTGATGACCCCATATCTAGTGTCGCTGATCCTCACCATCTAGTCAGTTCTAGTGGAGTCTCTACACAATGCGGGGAATATTCTTTAAATAGAGTCAAAGTAACTGTAACTTGGGAATATGATGGTCCAACATTATTTCGTGGCGGGGAGGATGAAGTCATAAAATTTAAAGATGGATCTCAGCATAGAGTCTTCAAAAAAGAAGGGGAGGTGATATGATGGAAAGAAAAGTCAATTTGCGATTGATTTTGTGAATGACTTTTATTTCGTAGGTTTTCAGAATCCTTTTGCATTTCTCACATATAGTGGAACTATTTATTTTACGGTTTTTAGGAATGATTTTATACTGGTGTATCGATTTCTAGATACTTCACTGATGATTTTGTGTTCTATTCATGGAACTTAAAAGTTCCAAATTCCGAACATCTGTAGAACTTCGGATTTGAAGTCCGAAGGAACGAGTTAGCTAGGATAAAATACCAGTTTATTGGTGTTTAATTTCAATTTACATACTGGCTATATCCAGTTCATAATTAGTTATTTACTCTAACGATGATTAATACATGTGTAAATGTGACACTGTATTCTTCTGATTATTGTGTTTTATTTACTGTTATTTATATCATGTTTGTCAAGAGAGTTGAATAATGCTCATGCACTCAGACCGAACGTGGTGATTCTCTTCAGGATCAACTCCCCTAACCCAAAGGTTTAGTTCACAAAGTAGTGAAATGGTGTCTGACGTCTCGGTCGGATTGTAGGTAGTGATTCAAATGGGTTCATATACCATTCGCTTCCATAGGATTCTGCAACCCACGCACTCTACTGATTTGGAATTTTAATTTTCCAATTCCTTTAGATGGATCTTTCTCATCCATTAACCGTGTCCACGTGACATCCGTAAATATGACAAATAATTTTGAAGGAATTGATCCACTTGTTCTGCTTCATTACAATCTCAAAAGATAAATATTACCTGTTTAATTCAAGTGTTTTCATTTGATCTTATGCCACATTTCTATTCCTTCTAGTCCCAGCCCCGTGTTTACGTTTATTTTCCAACACACAGCACCTCGTATGTGGTGGAATTTATTTTCTGTCTAAATAAACTTGAGTGGCGAGACTATAATTTATGAACGAACCAATCAGGTATGGGATAACAGGTCTCGGATTTTGGCGCGAAATTCGTTCATCAATTTGGCAAAATAGGCTTTTGATATTATAGTTGATGTCAGTTCGTGATAAAAGCCCTGAATATTGTTCCTAACCTTAAATTCCAACTATAAATCACAATTTGAAGTCCTCACACAGGTTTATAACCCTCATTTTGTCCTAGTTATTAGGTGGACACTCACAAGGTCACTTTAGCGTCGCTCAAAGGTTGTCCATAAATTATAGTCTCACCACTTAAGTTACTGACTGACCGAATTTGAGAATACTTTCACCGAATGCGATTCCTGATACAGCTCTTATAAAACCGTGTTTGTCACTCAAAGTGGCCTCGTTTAACGCTCGCATACTAATGGAGATAGAATAAAATATAAGTTTGACTATATCCTTGGGAAGTCTTGAAATCGATGTATTCTGTATCTGAAAGACCTGTATTCAAGACTCCATCGAAGTACTACATATTTGTTCTCAATTTGTCGCTTAGAAGTAAGTATTCTCGTACCGGTATATAAGTGTGTAAGTCTGACGTTTGTTTTGGAGTCTCCATATGGACTGTAACTATGTCATTTTATGGATCAGGCCTATTTATTATTCAGTGGTCACCAAACATCTTGTTGTAAATGGACTGATGTAACCTTTTTTTCAGCCTGGACACTAGTATAAGTCCACTATCCCTTAAATAAGCAGTGTGATTTCGAGCCTAGTAACTCATACACCTAATACAGTTCCGTGAATTCGGACCATATTTTGTATGATCTTGTGATACTTTTAAACAGCTACCAAAACTGGTTTGTATATTCGAGTTTTTAAAAGCTGACTTTTGAAATTACTGAGCTAATATATCACTGGATATTTATTTGTTCAGCCCTTGCATATCAGTGGTTTTTAGTTAGACAGATCTTCAGTAGGATTAAATTCTGTCTAGTGACCTAATCACGCAGATACCAAGGTAGCTGATGAATAACAATGTTTGTAATCAGTACATTACTATTTTAATTAACTAAATCTTTTTGACGCGTATAATAGTTACTACAATGGTTTAGTGTTTTAAGTTGATTTTTTTCCTCAAGACTAACTTGTTCTCCCTCCTGAAAGATGGTAGTGATGATAGCAGTATTCATAATTCTCACTTCCATGTGATTGAATGTATAAGACACTTTTTTGTTAATGTGTATATTTTTTTTAAAAATTATAGGCAATCGATACATATGAGAATTCCGAAAGAAACATTCTTACACTCGATCGACAAATTAAATCGCGTAAAGGTAAATTTTTCAAATCTGATTCACTTATTTCACCTTTTTTAATTTACCATGTCCTTATATTGTGTAGTAGTAGTCGTAGTGGTAGAAGATGGGCTGACTTCTCAAGATCGGTCAATAAACATTAGAGAACAAGTCTACCAGGGTTTTCGATTTGATTGTTGTTAATGTGTGCTGGAATGTTCTGCGATGAGGTATTCATTCGTGTACTTGTCTTGTTAAAAAAACATCTAACCGTGTTATATGTATAGCTGAATGTTTGGCACTAATATGCATCAGTTGACACTGTTAGATATGAGTCAAATCATTAATGGTGTATGTAATAAAATGTACATCGAAAGTAAAATCTGTTTATGGACAAGAGAATAAAAGATTGTGATATTTGCTGTGCAACTATCCTGTACAATCACCTGTCAGCTATCAACCAGGAAGTGTGCACCTCAATATTGGTTATTTTAAAAAATGTCATTCTCTTCACGGAATGCGATCATATCAGGTTTTACCCAGACTATTGAGGTTCCTTCAACTTTGAACATTTGTCATTCAGTTTGAGTACCCAAGCAGTATTCCAGCCCTCATATAAATCGAATGATTTCTGTGGTGCCTCTTTTTACCTGTGTTTATGTGTTTAAATGAATAAACATTCAGTTTAGGCATGAAATAATCTTGTTTATTTTTTCTTGTTTTTCACAAAGCTGAATTATTAAAACAACGAACTGAAAATGAAAAACTAAAAAAAGAAATGGAATTATTTTTCAAAGAGATGCACGATATCTGATGATAGTAATAACAATAATCTCTCTCGCTATTCACATATATTAAGATTGTTATTAGTTTATATTGTTTTTTCATGTAGTCCCTAAACACTGACATCCTATGTGTTAGCTTTCTTGAAAAAAAAAAGCTGATTGTCTATGTCTGAAACACAGCATTGATCTATTTTAAAATCTGGTTCCTTGACGATACAATTGTCTGTCGGTAAGTTTACTTAATGCTCAGTGTTTCTTTTCAACTTTCACAAAGCAAAATGTATTTTCTGGTAATTTTCCACTTTATGAAAGAATACTACTTTACATAGAACAATCTTGTTCTCTATGAGAGTAATAATAACAATAACAACAGCAACCATAACCTTTTTTACTTCATTTCCACTCCTTAAGTGATATTCTTGTAGTTATAAGTTATTTTGTAAAACATTCTTTCCATATTATTATGATTATCGTTATTGACTTGTAAAATTATTTTTTTTCTTTCAAATAAACAAACTTAATACCTTTTGTTGTAAGATTCAACTGTTTGAGTTCATTCCTATCTCTGTATCTAATTGGTCATATTTGCCAAATGTAAAATAAGAATTTTGCACCAACAGCAATCTGTAGTCTTAAATCCTAAATTGATATATAATTTAATTTTACATTGTTAAATGACCTATATTCGTTATGTCTTTCAAGAAGGTAAACTGAATAACGAGAAACCCGGTCTTAAATGCATATGTCTGTTGTTTTGTTTGAACTGAAAAAAAAACTGCAAAGCGATAGTTGAAAAGTGAACTGGCGCTTCGTTGTTATTATAATCAAAGTTCAAAATTGTATTCCTAGTACGATGTGAGCTGAACAGATATATTATTGGTGTAGGAAGTGGGTTGTGGAAATTGTAGAATTTTCATGGTTTCAATCACAAACCGATCTCAGCTAGACCACAGTGGAAGCCTAGAAGCACTAGGCAACTGTATTGGTTTTATGTGGTATTCTTCAATAATGCGGATTTGAGAATCGAGTCCAAATCCTTCAGTCTCGTGTGCGAACGCTAAACCTTCAGACCACAGAAGTGTTAATGTCGTACTCCGTTGAATGGGCAATATTGCACAACTCTTCTTTTTTCGGTGGTTAACTGTCTCACTTTGAACTCTGCTGGTCTCTAGCCATCTAGTGCTTCCTGGCTTCTGTGGTGATTCAGCTGAGATCAGTTAGTAACTTACCAGTCGAGTCAGAGCTTATGGCCAACTGTCATCAGTTTTTGCAACCTCAAGTGGTATCCGTTAAGGCTGTCCACTATCTCCATTTTCGTTTAACTTCATCATAGATGTACTGATGGAAATAATATTTTCGTTAACTGAATTTTCAGGCATTGATCTTGCAGGACGTCCACTTATCGACTCAGAATACGCAGATGACATAGTCCTGTTTGGTGAAGACGCTGATAAAATGCAGTCTTTTCGTGTCACTGAGCAACAATGTCAGGATGTTTGGAATTCATCTCCCCCTCTGATAAATGTGTTGCTTCAGAACTGACCTACGTCAACACCTGAACTAAGGGTAGGGAGTGAAGTAGTCGAACGCGTTGACAACTTCACTATTCCTGAAAGTCTGATCAGCCGTGATACTTTGATGTCTGACGAAATCTCTACACGGATTCAAAAAGCTCATTTGGCTTTTGTCAACTTACGTCACCTATGGGTTGAGTATATGGTTCAGCAGTTCGTTCTGTTTTAATTTACGACTGCGAAACGTGGCTATTAAGAGTAGAAGATATTCGTAAGCTATTAGTATTTGACCACAGATACCTTAGAAACATTGGTCGCATCTTCTGGGATCACTGGGTAAGTAATAGTAAGGTTAGACACAAGGTATTGGGGAATGATTGTAAATCAGTTGATGAGGTTGTGAATCTTCATCGACTGAGACGGACGGGCCTTGTGTTGCGTATGCCTGAACACCGATTACCACGATGTGCAATGTTGGAGATGGCTGTAAGAAAGTTAGGGGCGGCCAAACCAAAACATGGCATCAGTGCTTGAATTCACTAACTTCTAGTCTGAGCTATATTGGTAGGTGCAGACTACTTGGTTGGGGTCCAAGTGACTATCGTAACGAACTGTTAGAGGTTTTGTGTGACATGGCTCAGAATCGATTACAATGGCGTAGGTGTATACACTCTTTGTCTTCACTTAAACCGTGAAATTAAAATTGCTTTATTCTTGCACCATATCCTTTTTCACAATCTCTCTTTTGTATGTTACTACCAGTGAAGTAACTAATTTTATGAATCCGGTGTTCATCTTGTTGTGCTAATGAGTGAGGTATGGCAACTTGGACCGATGCGCATATATACCTGGTCCTATGTTGTAGCTGACTGGCCTAAACTGTGAAGGTTTATAATTGCCTTTTCTTCGATGATACACAAATATCCCTGTGATCTGAAATAATTTGTTTGTTATGTCCACCTCTATTCGAACTACACGTGAATAACATATAAGCCTATATACATTTTTAATTGATTCCCTAATATTTTTATCCTTCACTCCAGATAATCAACACGTGATCTACATGACATCGGAAACTGTCATTTTGTTTGCGATTGATGTAATCGTTAAGAATAGTTTTAAAGTGGTGCAAAACGATCATTTGATTCTATAATTCAGGGAGATTCAGTCTTGATGTTAGATGGTAAAATATGAAGCGATATCCAATGAAAATTATCAAAAACATTGATTCAGCCTCGAATTACTGTCTTCCCGATCGGTATTAGTAAACACTATGTGGTTTGGAACTTTGTTTTCAAAGATACTTGAAACTGACGTTCATATTATCGTTTTTTCTTAGATTCCATGTAATATAAGGCTAGTATATTCATTGGATTTTTAACCACGTTCCATCTCATATCTACTTCAATATTTATCTGGTTTAATTCAGTAAGACCACGTCTAAATGAGCGAGTTGGAGCACGATGGATAATAACGAGACAACACACCAAAAAGGCGATTCATCATATTAATCGAATAATTATAAGAAATTGGTAACAAATGTCAAAGGGATAAACACTAGTGGGAGTGGGCGCTTTGTTTTGTCAGTATAGGATTGTGGAGCTTGTCGAGTTTCAATGAGGTCATTAAATCATCAATGTTAGACCGTCATTGAAAACATGTTGGTCTAGCATTAATTGGTCCATGATCTCAGTCAAATTCGTTTTGAAATAATTCATTTAGATATTGATTACATTGCAAGTGACAAAAAGCGGTAAAGTACGTGACTGAATTGCAGCTGGTTATTTGAAGTGGAAGTGTGAATGTACATAGGAAAACCAGTACTTATTTGTTCTAGAATAGATTATTTCACCAGTTTTGAAATAAGAGAATTATATAGAAAATCAACAAGTAACACTTTATTTTGTACACGGCACCGAGTTCTACCACACAAAATATAAAGTTGCCACTGATAGGACTTTAGGTAGGTACGGAAAAGTGATCAAGAGAATATAAGTTCAGGCAGCTTCGCTAACATTAGCGATATATCAGTCGAATATTGATTTCCGCCCTTGTGGCATATACAGTATTCGGAATATAGCAAACAATCCGAACAGTACAACAGTGTCATTGAATTTCCCCCACCAGATACGAGTTAATTGAATGCAATAAACCTCTGGTATGTGTATGAGATGATCATGGGAGGAAGGGATTTTCTTTGGAATCATTGTGGATCTGTTCTGTCTTTCCGTTCGTTGGTAACATCGACGTCTACGTCATTACTGAATTGGATAGTGTTAGGATGTTCGGAAAAATATACCAATAATTATCAAGAATATTAAGGGTAACACAAATCACTTACTAACCAAGCAGCACCGAGACTTTAACGAAACTAAGAAAATATGAAACCCTGATCATAAGCAAACCAGATAAAGGAGGAGGTATAGTTCTCATGAACAAAAAGGATTACATCGGAAAAATAGAGGCTCTTGGGATATTCAGAAAAATATCCCAACAACTATCCTTTTAAGTCTAATGGTGTCCTTGGACTTTAAATGGAAATTTCCTATTGGTCAATATTTATTTCACTTGTCAAATATCGTACAAATGTTGTTTTCTATTTTATGGTACGATGTGGTCTGGTTGATTGGTATATAAATAGAGTATGTCTGGAATATAAAGATTCATAACTCAGAGGCTGAGACTTGTGTTCTGGACTCAACTGGCTGGACTAGACAGCGAAGCAGGGCCAATCGGGACTCTAGGTCGTTCGTATGTGTTTTACGTGTCACTGAATCGATCGATAAATACGCTTCACTCTAATCTGCAGTCACACGTTACAACAGATAATCTACTGAAATCACAATTCCCCGTACAGTATTTAGAAAAAATCAAGGCATTACCAAGTATTTTGTAGAGACCAACAAGAAATGACCTAATCACTGACACCATTCAGACAAACTTATGGAAATTCACTGATGCTCTAAAATATCGTCTCAACTACAGTGAACTGAAAGCAGATCAGTTCGTTGCGAAATCCAGCATCACCATTTAAAAAAGAAAATTAAAGTAGGACAGCACCATTTTTTAAACTAGTCGTCGATTATGGAGGCAGATCGATAGTATACTATTTACGCACAATAACACACGATGAAAATTGTACATTTAGATATATTAATCTGTGTTATAAAGGTTGAGACTAATTAGGAACACTTTCATCTTTATTGAGTCTATAATATGTTTTATTACGTTCTTTTCGACTCTCTCAACAAAGCGTTCTCTTATTGCAGGATATTGAGACGGCTATGATAGAATTACTTAGACTTGTTTACGTCATTTTTATTAATTAACTTTTCTGACATTTATAGGTTACGCCAGGATGAAATAAATTCATGAAAACATGTCAGTAACAAAAGTCTAGGTGGTTTAACCCATTCGATCATGCTGAAGGATAATAGCCGAATGTTCAGGCAGCCATTAGTAGTCTTTAATATGTTCATAAGGTTTGGAAATCGCTGACCAATTTTTCATTGCAATGCTCATGAGGTCACTGTCACATTTAAAATGGCTGTCAGTAGACGTTCATCATTAGTGTACTTGAACAGGTTTTTTCCGTTACATTTCAGTGGTTCATTAATGTTAAAATTAGTAAGAAAACTGGCCTGAGATTATTAAACCCCAGTCGATTTCATACGTTTCTCGATTTTTTATCTCTTGAACTCTGACCTTCAAGGACAGTCCACCAACCAGAATAGTAGGCAAAATAACCATGACAACTATAGTTGCATTTTATTGGGACTGAAATACCGGGTGTGCTTTTCGCCCTTTGTAAGCGTCAGCCAAATATACCTGCGCTCATGGTTAAAGTTCATTCAAGGACTCGAACTTGGTAATGTTCTCTAGAACCGCTATCTCATTATGCACGCGTCTACAGAGTTCAGATAGCCACTAGTTTGTGCAGTAATAGTCATGGCACTCAAGGAAGTTTTTTGTCTTTTGTAAAAGCAATACTTAGAAATCACAGCATAGTTATTATCTTATGAGTTATCGATTTTATTCAGCGGTCATAATAATGACAAATTGTTAAAGACTCCAATAACACTTGTCATTTCACCAGAACTAAGAAGCTGTACTTATAATCTGGGGTTAGATTCAGTCTGGCGGCGAATAAATCATCAAAAGACATAGTTCTGTAAGTCTTAGTCGCGAATGACAGCCTGCTTGAATATCTGAGCTG